GGCTATAAACTGGATGATAATTGTTGAAATTCGCAGGAAAGTGGATTGAAAAGTTGAGAAGAAAATTAAAAACGAAATGTTTCAAATTAATAAAATGAAATCCGAACAGTTCCAAGGAAAACGGACCCAAATTTAATTAGACGGAATGCAGGAAGATTGAGCAAAACCAAGACTACCCGTCTTTTCCGACTTCCAGTAGATAAGAAAGAGATGTCGGTCCTGGAAAATAGAAAATAAAAAATTATGCTGACGATAAAGAAACCCGAGTGATCACCGAAATAACACTTAAGATTGTTCTGGAAAAAGAGCCAGAAAAAACATCTGGTTTGAATCGGCTGCCCAGAAGAAAAATATCCCGACCAAAATATAGATTATCGCCTAAGATTGGGAACGGGTTCGTTCATTTTAATTTCTGTGACATTCAAAAATTTTATAGCCGACATTATTTCGGATTCCTTTGGATACAAGTGATAAAGAAAAATTAATTACTAACCCCGCAGTGTCCATAGGCGGCTGGCTGTGTAGGCTGGCCGATCGAGAAATCACCTAAAAACAGCCAGCGTGAGACTAGCTGATAAAGATAGATTAATGCCTGGAACTCCCCTTTTCACCTCCGCATTCTGAAAGTTTGAGGAAGAGTGAGGTTATTACCGCCTATATGGAGCGATGGTGCGAGATGAGACGTGAAGAGACTTAAAGTTAAGGCACTGTTTGATTTCTCTAACAACTCTCAAAAGGGGTTGGATAACACCTAAATTTGGAAAATTACTCGAGTAAACATGCAGGACCCTATATAAGCTGGAGGTTTTGGGCAACTTGAAGAGTCGCCACATTAATGCTACTGGAATCTACATCATTCGCCGAGTTAATTCTTTATTCCAAAGAATTCTTTTTTGTGTAACTCCTCGCCGTCGACATGTTCTGCGCTCCAGTTTACTTCACCAGCGATCTTCACACCATCTGCGATCAAAAACACAACGTTGCAGATGAGTAAAGAGTCGTGAAGCAGACAAACGCCAGCGAGATTGAGTAGATACCAGCGACACACCAGCAATGTGTTAATGAGTGAGGAGTAACCACGGTGGTGCGGGATTACATTATTGGTTGCCGTTGACCAGGATCGACCCAGGGCTACACACAATAGTTCCAGTAACACTATAACTACTCTATATTGTCATCAAATATTGATCTATCTTAGATGGAAAACAGTTACATATGAATGGTTGCTTTTGTTCTCACTGTTGAGTCTTGATTAGATTTGCTTTATACTAATGGAAACCAGACACTTATACGTTACCTGTGTACTGCTTTAAGATTGCGGGACTAACTAATCGAGACACCGACAACTGAGATATTAATTGTCTCGTATGCTTTCTGGATTCTGGTTGGACATCTTACCTGCTATGACATTTTATCGTATAATTATAGAAGAATTGACACTCTTTAATATGCAGTCGTTACAATTACGATTTATTATATTAATAAACGTTATTTTTATCTTTGTTGGTGAAATAAGCATTTAATAAACGTTACTTTGATTAGTACAAGAGCCCAAATATAGGGCATCCAGTGTGGATCAATCTCACTCTAAAGTATTAACGGCCTGCTAAGACTAGCCTATCAGCCATTACCACACACGTTCGTTGGCGAAAAAGATAATTGAAATAGAAGACTAGAAAAAAAGTGTATTTTAGGTAAGAGATGAAAGGTACTTATAAGTATTCTTGTAGATTATCGGAAATTCTTTGAAGCATATCAAAGCAAGAAACTAAGTCTGTGAACGAGACAAAACAGATTGGATAATGGAATGGCGCGTCTTGGGAAGAAATGAAAAATAAATAAAACACGAAAATCAAATCTAGGGAAAGAGAAAAACCGTGAAAGAGCAAGACTGCTGGAGCGATCATGAAAAAAAAAAAGACAAGGTTCTGCAAATAAACACTTGGAATTTAAATTTAAATTGGAATTAAATTTGGGAATTTCTTTCTGAATTTCTTCGATGAGGAATTATCATTATCTACATTTGGACTATTATCTTCAGCTTTGTTTCTATTATCATAACGTTTCAGTCATTGTGACACTTGGCCTTCTTCAGGTGTTCGTCGATCCGAGTAACTTTCAGGAAATTTCAAACTGAAGCCTTTATTTAATCTACGGTATTAGATTGTTCTCGTCCCACTGACCATATCTCCGGCTATGTCTTATTTAATAGATAAATAAATCAGATATAACCCTAGACATGGACAGTACAATGAATACACCCAATAGATTAAATATAGGGCTCAGTTCATAATACACTTTAGGTTACTCAGATTGACAAGTACCTGGAAAATCCCGGAGAATACATCGACCGAAATGTTGTAATAATAACAATAAAGATAAGGACAATAGTCCGAATGAAAATAATTTTTTTTCGAATTTTCACTTGTCTTTGTCATCGTTTCATTTTAGATTTTGTTATGAAATGCCATTGTTATTAATATGGGAGATTTGGTCTCGTGTTCTCATGAAAACAAACAATTATAATATTACACACTGTCATGCTTTTAATTAAAATAAAACAGAATTATTACTTTTCTGTAGCGCATTCTTAAATCAGGTTCGCTCTTTTGATTCCATTCCTTTTGTCAATTTGTCTTTAGGAATATTTTTGTATTTTACATTTTCTAGTGGGTTTTTATATTTGCCATAAGATTTGCAAGATTGTGTTGTGCTAAACTTTCAGGTAGAAATAGTTTGTCTTGAAAATCAGCACGTTTGACTACTTGTGCTGATAGGATCTCTCTCTCTCTCTTTTTATCTATCTATCTATCTATCTATCTATCTATCTATCTATCTATCTATCTATCTATCTATTCCAGTTTGTTCACGACCCAGTTAAGTTTTCGTTCTGTTAAGGGATGCAAAGATGGCATATATGTCGTCAAATAACTCCAAGAAATTGCTTACCTCTCTAATAGGAGACTATATCTGCTTTGTCGACATCAAAGCAGCATATGGCCAAAAATCAATAGAGACTTCCTCTACTCATTCAAATTCCGAATCTGCCTTCCAAACTCCGAATCTACTGAATGCATCAATCTAATAATAGAGGAATTGTATCGCTCTACAGAATCATACTTGTCTGGTGAGGACCCCAATGCGGAAATATTTCAAACCTCATCACAGGAATAGGACTATGAGGAAATGACGGTCCCAGTCTCATTCCCACACCATGCTCTGTGAATTGACAAAAACAGATGTGAAGAGATGGGCACAGGCCATCCTAGCATTCCATACTACATCCCAAATGAGTCTACAAATAAATGACAACGATCCTGTTTCCCCTCCCTGATGATGAGTGAAGCTATGCTGATGACATAGGTGTTTATAGCTGGGATAAGAATAATCTTGAACAGAAAATCAAAATTTTCTATCAAGTGTTCTAAGAAATGTGATTCAAGATAATAAAACAGAAACTATGAAAGCGGCGATGGCACATACCCTGAATCCATTATAAAAATTCAGGATGTAGAATTAGTAAATACTAAACATTTCAGATGAGTCGGCGTATGGATCAATTATAAAAAAAAATGGAGGAAAGGAAATCAGAGAATAGAGGCTGCGCGAGAGATAGTTTCGTTCTACTCTGCAAATTGCTACGAAACGAAAACATCAAGTTGAAAACTCGAGTCATGTTCTTAAATAGCCTCGTGGATGTCATAAAATGCGCCAAACACGTTCAAAAATACCAAAACTGTCAGACGTAGACAACCGATTTCTAAGACCAATTGTGAAAAAATGTTTTGGGCGAGTGAAACTTGAAAGTTTTGGAAAAGATCATCCGTCTTTAAACATTGTAGACTGGTACTACAGATTTATAAACAAAAACCTGTACCAAATACCTACATCATTTGAGCACTATCAACAACATCAACAACTAAAATGGATACCGCATGGAACACGAAGAGAAAAATATAACATAATCAAGATATTAACATTCCACAATAAAATGAGACTCCTATCAATACTGGAAAGAGCGATAACTTGATAAATTTCTGTTTCTTCAAGTCTCTTCTTCATCTGTGACTAGATTGTCCAGCATTCTCTGCTATATCGGAGGACTGATATTACATAACCGTTCAATACTCTTCTGTTTCTTAATACTTTGCTTAGCTTTTGGAAGGCATCTTTCACCTTCTACTACACCTTCGGATTTCAGTCCCGCACTTTCCATTCTGTAAAAATGCTTCCCAGATATTTAAATGATTGTATTTATTTCAGTGTCTCTAATTTGTATTTTGCTTGTTGGGCTCTTCCTTTTGCTGACAACCATGCATTCCATCTTCTTGCAATTGGTGTTGAGTCCTGTCTTTTTATTTTTCTTCATTACCTTCTGCATGAGTTCTTGTAGTTTTCTTTCTATGTTTGCCATCAACACTGTGGTAACTACATAACTTATGTTGTTAAGATTAATAATGAATTTTGGTAGGGCTTTTAATTCTCTCAAAATCACTTCACTATAGAGATTGAATCCGGTGAGCAGACACATTCTTGTCTTATACCCATTTTTATTTTTATATATTTACTGAACTCATTTTCTATCTGTATGCAGTACGTTCATATCTATCTATCTATCTATCTATCTATCTATCTATCTATCTATCTATCTATCTATCTATTCATATTCGAATATATATTTATGTACCTGCGTATGAATGTATGTATCTGCATCTATTTAGACGAGACAGCATTTTCTTTTTATGTCCACACTTAGGAACGTCATAACGTATTTTCAACAGCTTCGTGTCTGTTTGATTTGCTTGACAGTGATTCTGTTGATCATTCTGCTTGTCACAGAGTTCCGCTCCACCGGAACGGAACGAAGGAAAAAGATAAGAATTAAAAAAAAAAAAAACAACTTTCGGCAACAATAAATGGAAAAAATAAAAAAAAGGTGACGAAAAGTGAATAAGATTTTTTTTCTTGGCTCATAAATATGTCGAAGTCAAGATTTTCGCTTAATCTGTATTTTCTTTAGGAAACTCATTAACACAGGAAAAGGTCGAGGAAAGATCAAGGAGAAAGAGACAAAAAATAATAAAAAATGGAAATAAAGATTGAAAAAAGAAAGAAAGAACGCGAGAAAGAAAAAGAGAGAAAATCATAGAAAATGAAGAACGGCAAAAAAGTGAACAGAAAAAAATGTAAACACAGAAAAGATTCTATTAGAAAGAATGATGGAATGAAAAACGAACGAACGAAAGGAGAAGAAGAAAGAGAGAAAGATAATAGATTCAATTAGAAATAAGCATTATAGGAAAGAAAAATGATTCTAAAAGCATAAATATAAATAAAAAGAAAAACTATCAAAAAGTTAGGAAAATATTTCTCAAGAAAGAAAGAAAGAAATAAAAGAAGATGAAAAAAAGATTTTATAAAGAAGGGAAAAATAATAACGAAATAAAATATAAGAAAGAAGAAAAGTTGAATGAAAAGGACGAAAAAGAATTTATGATGTTTGATCGAATGGGAAATACTTTCAATAGGGGGTAAAGTTGAAGCCAAAATATAGAAAAGAGATTTCAGAAAAAAATAGAAGAGATTAGATTTATGAACGACCAATAGGAATGGAGCCCGAATGATGAAGTGCAATTCATTTTCCATTTTTTTTCTTTTTTAGCTATTTCAGTTTGTTCATGTTTCTATTTCAATCTGTTCTCCGTAAATATTGCAGTCTATGTATGTATGTATGTATATATGTATGCATGTATGTATGTATGTATGTATTCATATATCTATATAACTATCTGTCTGCATGTATGTATGTATGTATGTATGTCTGCATGTATGTACCTATGTATATGCTTGTTCGTATCTATCTATCTATCTATCTATCTATCTATCTATCTATCTATCTATCGTTACTACATACACTGGTACAAATCGTTAGTATGCTCACTTCATAGGTCAATTCTCGCTGAGTTTGTATAATTTTAGCCTCATGCCAGACTATGCTAATTCTAGTAAATTTAATAAGGCACATACTCTGGCATTATAATTAAATTGCTAGTCTTACAGACAGATTTGCACCAGCCTCGTGGTCGATGTTGTTGTGCTTTTCCTACTGTCATCATTGGCCGGTTTTTGAGTATAAATAAAAAGCCTGAATCTCGAATGTTGATTTTCAAGGCAATGCGTTCTTCTTTCGATCTAGATTGTTCTATGCCGTATTTACTAAGCAAACCTTAGTAATTGCCAAGAATAAACTTTAGTCCATCTGACATTCATCATCATCATCGTCATCATCGTCGTCGTCATCATCATCATCATCACTGCCGTGACTGGGTGTGGTCGTAGGGCCGCTGGACAGCTGGGAACCTGACCAGTTCCCTTCACATATCTGGGTTGAAAGCCGAAGAGATATTCATTCATGCGTAGCAAGTCTTGGGCAAGTCGACCTGGCGGAGTTCATCCCTCTCCGGGTGAAACCATGGCCGATGTCTTCCAATTTAGACTTAGGGACACATGGCCATTGATTCTAACGGCCTTTTACAGTTAATTTCTGTCTAGGAAGCCTGTTTGCTTCATTTGATCCGCGCATCTGTATCATTATTCTGCTTGTTTGTATGTCCGACTTTAATGATATTCTAATTAGGATCAAAATGAAATGCGCAACGAATCCAGTTACTAAATTATAATTCCCCCGTCAAGTCGTCTAGGTTTTAGGACCAAGGCAGGAAATGACGCATACACAGTCTGAAAAATTAAGAATAAATTAGTTTATTTGAATTTCTATGTCGTGGTGCTTATATTAATTAATTAATTCTGACTTACCGATTCCAAAAAGTATCTAAGGGATTAGATACTTTTTGGAATCGGTAATCTCTTGGAAATATTAAACCTTTTATTCAATCTCCTGGAATATGTCGCCTCATGTTTTTCCCTCTGACGTTCAGTGTTCTTCTGAGGAGATTTCACAATTCATCAAATTCTTCTTTATGATTTTCTTTTCTCCGATTGGGTCTATTTCCTATGGGGCATGGGTTTTTATATAAAACCAATTTTGGAAGCCCAACTGGTTAAGTGGAACGCTTGAGTTCAATCCTTGGATTAAATAGTACAGAAATATACATTGACTCATTGGCTCACTGAAAGAAACATCACGGGAGTTCAATACTTTTATATTTTATTTCATATAGAATATAGACTCTGTAAATTATACAATTATTCTTATCTGAGCCCGTGTAGCATTAACATCGTGAAACGTTTTGTTTATTATCAATAGGTGTCATAATTTATTTCTTTACTTATTGATAACATTTTACTGTATATAAAAAGCAGGCGAGCAGTAAAGCTGGACATGAAGAAAGAAATTAAAATAGGTAAAAATACCCCCCCCCTCTATGATTACAGTAAATAAATGTTGCAAGAGAAAACAAAGTAGAAAGCATCTTATAAAAAGTGAATTACGACTACAATTGTAGCAAAATGTAACAGGAGCATGACGGGAACATTTTACATTTCTGCCACAAAGAATTTAATCATCTTTAAAATCAGAAAAGTCTTCATCATCAAAGCCTGAGACCGTAGCTTGTATCACTATTTAGAGCACTTGGCCGATTAGTTAGAATTTAAATGGAGGACTAATTGTAAACACCGCGGTACTGTAAGCAATCTTCTACAATTCAAATATGCATCGGTTTTAAACAAACCAAAAAAGAAAAAAAAAAAAAAAAGAAAAAAAAAAGGTGTGCGTGTATGGGGGGGATGCACCGAAAAACAATAACAAATCAATCAATCAATCTCTTCAACAACATACAGCACCAAACAATGTAACTGCTGAACTTTTAATCGAAAAATTACGGCCTATTAATTTTAACGACTCCAAAACTAAATTTTTCACTATTAATCATCTGAGAGAGTTTACTCTGGCTTCCATCAGTATGGCTGATGCTAACCTCCAGGGAAGTGACTCATTGCGCCTTCTCTGGCTAATGTTCTCAGCTGACATGACTATATTGAATCCATTGCTAGATCAGCTGCCACATAGGGCTCGGTGCCCTTGCTATTTTCCTTGAGCTTTTTGATAAAATCCAAAGAAGAATCAGCAATATTATTGGTCCTCATCTGGTGGCTTGGCTTCAGTTACTTTCCCATTACTGTAAGGTTGCCTCTCTGTGTCTTTTCTATAAATACTTTCATGGTAATCATTCAGATGAACTCTTCACTATGGTAGCTAGACTTTTTTTAAAGATTTAAGCGCCGTACTAGACTGGCGTCGAGATCTCACCAATTCGCAGTTGAGCTGGTTAGATGTAGCCGTAAGTTTTAGGCAAACAGTTTCTTTTCTCGCAGTTCTTGCTTGTTGAACTCCCTTCCGACTCTATGCTTTCGAGCCAACTTTAATCTGCGAAAATGAAATGCAATGTCAATCGCTATCTACTGTCCTCCTGATTATTCTTTTTTCTTCTCGCCCATTATTAATGCTCCTGTTCCTAATTCTTCCCCACCCTGTAAGCCATTGTGTCTTAATGGCTTTACTGTCTTGCGTGGGTTGATAACAATTAAAAGAAACTCTCTCAGACATTGTAGACGAGGGTGTATGTTCCACGTTTGGAAGCGGGCTCTGAAACCGCACACACGATTACACTGGCCGATGGGAATTGACGAAACCAGAAGTTGAATAATGCATAATGTTAAACATGAGAGCTTAAATCTCACGTTAGCATTAACTGGCACTTTGAAGAAACTAAACATCATTGACATAAGTGTATTATTTTTTCGCTGATCTTAGGAGACCTTCCGGACAAGCTTCGCCTGATGCAAATGGCTACTGATGGAATCTAACTTCTGCTGAAAATAGTTAAATGTTTCTTACTGGCGACATTAAACCAACTCAGGTTTTTGACTGCTGACTTTCAATACAGTTTGACGCTTTTATACTTGGAAGATTGGCGCAATACATTCATCCTGTATCACATTAGCAGGCTAAAGCAAACCTTGATAAATAAATTGGTAGGTAAAGTGTAGTTTTCTTTTTTATTTTCCGTATTACTTTAGAACATGGGTGATCATGCCTTTCCACAACTTCCTATGCTTCGCAATATTGTTTTTTTACTATCTCTCCTACACTCAATATGTTCTGTGGGTGTCAAATTAGCCCAACCCCGCTTTTTTGAATATGTGACCAAGAAACTATCACCTGTCACTGTTTGTTGCTTCTTGTACAATGCGCTAAATGTCACTAGTCCTAATTAGTTAATTCTCAGGGGGGAAAAGATTTGCATTAAGTTTTTATCACTGGATTCGAAGAATATGAGTTAATTCTTATTATCTCAACTCTCCGACCATCATTCTTCGACGATAATCAAATATTGCAGTACTGGGCAATGGGCATCATCCTGGACATATTTTATAGCAAATATATGGTCTTCATTCTTTTTTACATAAAGCTACCCTAAAATGATGAGAAAAATCACTTACTGTAAACTATCTGACACCTTACTTTTGTTTTCATTCATACCTGACTGGGGTAGGTCCGTTTAATTTGGGCCTGACTCCTACGTAGGTAAGTTACATGAATTTTAACTTCTTCAAAAAATCACCTATTTTTTTGCGTAATAAAAACTGATCATAAAAACTTGCTCTATACAAAAGATATATATATATATAAAGATGTCTTTACTGTATGTAGCTGTGTGTTAAGTTCCTATGAAAGATTGTGTGAAATGTACATTTGAAAAGAATGCTTTGTTTATTGGTTTAATAGAATTACTAAGTGTTCTAGCGTGTTGATAGGATTATGCCATTCTATATGTACTATTCTGTGTTGTATTCAGGGCAACTGGGAACAAAAATGACCCCCAGAGGAGAATGAGATACATCTAAGGCTAGAGAGAGAGAGAGAGAGAGAGAGAGAGAGAGAGAGAGAGAATCAGAATGAGAATCAGAATGAGAATCCAAAGCAAATTTCATATTTTTTAAAAAATATTATTTTAGAAACGTCAATTAGATATTTCTGATGTTGCATGAGCAACATTACCGGCGCGTAATAAAGGGGCTTTGATCGCGTTTGTCGTCTAGGGTACTATACGACACAAAGAAGAATGACATAATAGACAATAGAAATATGGCGTTATTAAAATGAAAAAGAGCATTTATTTGCTTTTTTACCTGTAGCAATATACAGAAATTACTAGGGAGTTTGTTACGGGATTCTACTGTATATGTAGCAGTTGGTACTGCATTGTAGTCGTAAAGAAAGACCACGTGATGGAAAAATATACCTGTATGCACTTTATTAGTAGTTTAATCGTGTCGTGGTCTCGGCTGCTACATCTAGTAACTTCGGAATCCTGACGCCTCTATGACTGTCTTCAGTCGTCGACATCAGGCTTCAGTGGATAGATGTCTTCAGCAAATACACGGCCGAAATATGCGACGGACAAACAAGTAACCATGTTACCTAGGATGTGCTACTGATGTCGGTTTATATAGCATTTGGAGTGACTAAAAAAAAAAACCCTGTTGAAACTGCATTAATCTTGTCTGATTGATGAGAAAATATTTTTTATGACATTCTCTTTTGTTTCAGAAGTGGATGCGCGGAGCCTGTCTAAAATTAACCAACTTTGTGTCATTTGAGGTGAACACTTCCGTTTTCGTTGAAGAGAGTGAGTTCCGTCAGGCTACGACACTCTTATTAACTTCTTTGGTAAATGTCTCAAAAGGCTTGTCAGATTTTCTCACGTCAAATATAGATTTCAGGAAAAATATTTAGCCTTTATCAGGAGTAGTGTCCTTCTGGCCTTGGGTTTAGTTAAGCGATGGACAGATTGGTGTTAACCATACTGTCTACGCATTATTCATCCCTAGGATTAATTAATTGATTGCTTGATTTTTATTTTTTATCAACTTTTTTCAGGTTTTTTAAAGCAAGAAAATATTTTGGGTTTGTAAGAATTTTTTGAAGATAATAATGATTTACCCGATACAAGTCCTACTAATTAACCCATAGCTGGGGGTGGATGTGGATTCATACCGTTCCCAAGGACATTTGCATATAAGTGAATATAATGAACCCGACTGGAATTGGAACTTGGCTCTCCAAATTTTCAATTCCAAGCCATTATCCATTATATCATCCGTACGTCCAAGCCTACACCTGGTATTTCCAAGCGGTCATCTTTCTTGGTATTAACCAGGCTGGACGTTGCTTAACTTCGATGATCGTACGAGAACCGATGTTTCAATGTGATATAGCCGTAAGAACTCTGATGTCTGGAACAATAGCAGTCTTCTGGTTGACCTGAAATGCTGTGATTTGGTTAGGATTCAAATAGGTGCCGAATTGCAAGGAAATTACTGACTGACCTTTACTAAATCAAATGACACATGAAATCATAAGAATGAGTTGAGATTCTATGAAAATATTGTAGAAGGCTCGAGAACACACCAACCGAAATAGCAAAGATGAAAGTACTAACCATAATAATTCATGAAATGAGGATAATTAGTTGATGATTAGTTTTCCTGCCTTCAGTGAACGATGAAAACTGAGAAACAAAAAACCTTGTTTGGCAAATTCTGAATGTAAACAAATCACAAAAAATTTCATTAACAATTTTGTCAGATTAACATTTTTTGATTAATTAAGTGAAGCCGATTTAAAAAAAATTGAAATGTATAAAAATATACAAATTGTATTATTAATCAGACAAAAGCACGATTCCAGCAGGAATGAATCGGACTTTTTTTTATTTATCCTACATGGAATTCCATACTTGTTAATTCGTTGTTTTTTTTTTTTGTAATTCTCATGGTGTTTGAAGATCTTCTGAGGGAATTTTCTGTTTTCGTTTTAACGAATTCACTTTTTGTCACATTCGATATTTTCCGTGAGAAAAAAAAAATGAAGAGAAACCTTAAAATGGTCAATCTTTGGAAATTTACGATCGAAACCATTTCTCTGGGGTTAATTAATTTCCGCAAAGAAATACTGATTGATTTTAATCGAAAAGAAAGAAAGAAAGAAAGAAAGAAAGAAAGAAAGAAAGAAAAGTTAATGTAAACAAAAATAGTTCTAATTATCAATGACAAGACTTCATCTTAAAAATTAGGACAACTTAATATTTGTGACAGTTTTCATTTAAACATTCGATACTAGACCACACGTCGGGTTCCCTTTAAAAGCCCCCAAATGATGAGGTAATAATATTATCAATTGTATTATTAATTACACATATTTTAATTTGTATTTCCGATACAAATTATTGTAATAATTATTATTACTCACATTATACAATATTACTTAGATAAAACGCAATAAGAAAAAAAGTTTACATTTTTTAGAATGGAATTTCAAACTGATATCACACTAAAGGCATTTCTATTCGAGTAATAGTAGCTCCGGGGTTGACAATTTATACAAATTTTAGTATTTTAAATTCAAAGGTCAATACCCCCCCCAAAAAAAAAAAGCAAACTGCAATTGTTTACTTAAGGAAAGTCATATTTATTGAAATAAGATAAAATATGGATGCCTCCTTTTTGTGCAAGTAGTTTTCTTTAATTTCTAGGTAATTTTTTCAAAACAATAAGTATATTTTTACTATAAATACTATAAATGTAAGGAAGAAATATCTTCCTTACATTTCTTTCAAAATACATAACAGCAGCAAACCTGCATGCATCTATTTATTTATTTTTGTCATCAAGTCATGTGACATAATTTTCCAGCTATACCAATTATGGTTTACAATGACACAAACATATAACCTCTTCACCTATCAAGTAGTTGCCAAACATACGAGATATTTTTTATAAAACAAGTTCTAATGTAGTGTAGTGAATTGTATAAATATATGTTGCGTTATGTATATGTAAATTTATTTAATAATGTTTTATGAATCTTTATTATTTTTCACACATATAGTAGTTGAAATATAATATGCGAGTCTTTATTTGTATACGTGGATTGATATAAGACTATGCATTGAATAAATACTGAATTTCCTATTAAAAAATGTTATAAAAACAGAAAAACGGCCCTAGCTCTTGTTTAAATTTAATGAAATTTGGTACTGGGCTCGGCAGGGGTTGAAGGTATAATATGCTTTTAAATTGGTTGGGGTATTAGGCATCGTTTAAGCTGTATTTTGGAAATAAACAGATACATACAAAATTACAGTTTTTGCATTATATAGATATTTTTAGGTTATTCATATTCTAATGAAAGCAGACTGATGCCGAAGCCATAAATGGTATTCAAATATATACAAGAAGCATTATCTGATCTCTCGCCAGATCATAGTTTCTATTATTTTTTTAAAATTATCTTCTCGTGGCAGAACAACCAGTTTCACTTATGTATTCTATGTTGCAAAAGCAGAATATGTGGGGTACTCAATTTTGAGTCATATATATTTTTTAATTGACAAGATGGAGGCAACTAATATTCCTGAGTTGACGCAATAGATTAGGGAAGTATAAATACCGTAATGGCCAACCCACATAAAAATATGATTCGCTAAACTTTCATCTACCTTCAGTTTGGCGTTAACTCCGCATTAATGCTTTTGAACATTAAACCCAAACATTTGAAAATCTGCATTATCAAATAGAGAAATACCTTTAGAAACAAATAAAAGAGCGTTGGATGGTTATGTAATATCAATCTTCCTATCTGCCTACGAATACTGGACAACTGTGTCAGAGATAAAGAGAAGATGGGAAACAACAGATACTGCTGAGAATACCATGAACTGAACATGTGAACAACAAGGAAGTTTTAAAAAAAATGGAAGCAAATATCTAGAATCAGAAAGACACAGTTGCAATTTCTAGGGTATATAATGAAGAAAGGAGGCTTAGAAAATTTGACACTCATATGACATAATGTAAGTAGCAAGAAAGACATAATGTAATTAGTAAGTAACTTACCTAACAAACTTGTGTGTACACCAGTGAAAATTATGTAATTTGCAGTAATTTTATAATTTCACTGCTTTAATGAGAATCACTTATTTTCGATGTCATAAATGTCAGGTTGCTTAATCAGAAAATCTGCTTTGTGTTGATGTGCGTTTTCATTTTCAAATTTTCGATGAGTGTCAGATCAACTGACTGGATCTGAATCTACGTAAACAATAGTTAATCATTCAATATTTTTTAATCTGTGTGTACGCTGACGAACAATATATACTATTTGTGTAACTGTTTCAGGATTTGTAATTGTGCGCGAGTGCAAGAATCGATTGTAATATACTTTTGTTTACCATCTGTATCCTTTTTTTTCTCGGCTTCTACAGATCTATAGAATATAATTAATACCATTAGATAAGGAATATATTGTAGCAAAATGACTCTCCTATACGAGATGGCCGTCGTCATAAGTCAATGATCTGCATGGGGGGTTGAGAAAATTACACGTGCACTGGATTCTCTATCGGCTGATATTGACTAGAAAATGAAAAGAAGGCAAAAGGTAGATTAGGTTGAAAAGAGAAAATAGAGAACCTGGAAGCAATCATTCTGACATTTCTTTGGAAGGAAGAAATGTAGTGAATATGAAGCAAAGGCCAGGAATGGTTGTCAAGATTTGGATTGCAGCTTTGTGTAGAAACGGTAATGAAATCGAAACAGACCGTCTTATTGTGTCAGATGAATAAAATGAAAAGATAGTTGTAAACAATTGAAAAGTGAATTTCTTTTAACGTTTACAAAATGTGGAGACGTTTCTTCATAAACTGAAAATCATGTTTTCCTTCTTCAGTCATTTGAAAACAATTTGTTTCTGTTGTTGAAATTTAATAACCGTCACATTAAAGAGGTTTCGAAATAATTAAAGATACAATGAATTTTTTGTGAGTCAGAAAGTGAACACAAGACGAGAGGCAAAAGGGTTGATTAGGGAAATGAAGAACATAGAAACAGTGTTTAGGATAATTCTTTGGAACAGCATTCCCGGAAGTCAGGTCCTTTAAAGAATAGTCGTGCACCTTTTGCTAGGAATTTTCTCGAGTTTCTAAAAACGTATCTTCAGGAAATTAGAACCGATAATAATATAAACTAAAGGGTAGGATTAGAGGGCCAAGCTCTGATTATAGCGATTTGAAGAAACGGAAAACAATGTGAAATGTTTTCTACTCTTGGATGGGTCAAGTGAAGAGATACTTGTAAATAAAACTGAAAAGTTCAAGGCTTATGGTCACATTAGACACCTGATCACCGAAGTTAAGCAACGTTTAATCTGATCAGTACCTAGATCGGTGACTACTATGAAATACCAGATGCAGGTGGTGTAATGGATAACGGCTCAGAATTAAAAATGAGAGTTCGAATTCCAATCGGATTCATTACAATCATTTAAGCGCTAATATCCTTGGGAAACGTATGAATCCGCTCTTCTTCTCCACACTATGGGTTAAAGACTAGAGTTGAATCAAAAAATCACTATTATCTCAAAAAAATCTTATAATCAAAAAATATGTTTAGTTTTTAAATAACTTTAAAAGGTTGGTAAGCCATAAAAACAAAAACAAATCAAGCAATCAAATGATAAGTTCGGCGTGGAAACATTTCGGTTCTATTACACATTTTCACCCCCCCAATCAATGGTGCAATTACAAATTGTGTGGCAGAGCAATGGATTAGCCAACAAATTGTGATTTGATGAATGGTTTATATGAAATTGAAAATTAAAAGACTTTAACTTTTATCGTTTTTATATTAAATTGCCACGGTTGAATATTATTGGTTCTTGAATTTGTATTGCATTGAAAACACTTTTATTTATGTTGATATTCTTGATTAAAAACATAATAGTACCAGACGTTCAATTTAAACGTCGTAATACATAATTTGATGTACAGGAATAAATAGACGGTTTTTGAAATTGGGAGTGCAAAATTATAATCGCGCCAACCTTTCTCTGTTCTGAACTCTCTGAAAAGTTGAAGAAGCTAATTTATGAATTGGAAATCTGTTTTCTTATTTCAGTCAATTGAATACAATTGGTTGTGATCTGGCAAACAAAAAGTATGAATATTCGGATTAAGTGAATTCCGAAAATATGATGACCCAAGTGAAAACATTTGAAACTGCATTTTGATGAAAATTTTGAAACACTCCATGCGGTGTACAGACAAATAGCATCTGACAACTCTGTTAAGGAGTACGTTGTCTCAAGATGAACCTGCAAACATAGCGTTCATAAGCATAATGGAGTCCAACGTTCGTTTTCAAAATTTGTAATTAATCAGCTTCGT